CTCCCACCCACCAATGCCATTGATTATCTCATGGATACCCAGAGATTCTGAAAACTCTATTCATACCCCAAAGTTATTTTTGCGCTGAAAAAAAGATGTAAGCCACTTGTTCCCGGATTTGCTTCATCTTGATCCCATAAATTATAGGATTCATCATAGGTGGAACAAGAATACAGACATTAGCCAACAAAATGTGGATATGAGGTGGGATGTAGCGTCCAAACCTCTGAGTAAGGGTTGTGAAGATGGCAGGCCCATAAAAAAGGATGATGACACAGACATGGGAGCCACAAGTGTTAAGCGCTTTGTGGCAAGCATCTTGGGAAGACATGTGGAAGACAGCAAAGAGAATCAGCACATAGGAAACAAAAATTAGCAAAACATCTAAGACCACTGTTGATATTATGACAAAAAGTCCATACCAGATATTCACTCGAATGTCATTACAAGCATATTTGGCCAAGCCAATGTGTTCACAGTAAGTGTGTGGAATAATATTATTTTGGCAGAAAGTCAATCTTTTCAAAAGAAATATTATAGGGAAAATTGTACCATAACTTCTCAGAAAGATAGTCACACCAATTTTCCCAATCAGAGAGTGTGTAAGAATAGTGGTGTATCTCAGTGGGTAGCAAATGGCAATGTAGCGGTCAAATGCCATCACGAGCAAGATCCCTGACTCAGAGATGAAAGTCCAGTGGATAATAAAGAATTGAGTGATGCAGCGGTCCAGGGATATCTCCCCAGCATGGAACCAGAAGATGGCCAAGGCCTGAGGTACTGTGCAGGTGGAGAGAACAACATCTGCTCCTGCCAACATGCACAGGAAGAGGTACATGGGTTCATGGAGGCTGCTCTTTGTGATGATAATGAAGATGAGCAGACTGTTCCCAAGCAGGGCAATGACATAGGAAATGACAAAAGGGATGGAAATCCATAAGTGCTGGTCCTCTAGGCCAGGGATGCCCAGCAAATGGAAAACTGTGTGGCTAACCCCCGTGTGGTTTAAGATGATCATGTTTGGAGAGACCACCAGGGACCTAACCTCCTAGTCACAGAGACAGAGAAAAACACAGATTATCCATGAATTTGCTTTCTGAAGTCACCAGAAGTCTATCCCGCATTCTCTATCTTCTTTGAACATGTAAATAAAAGAAACACACAAAGGTAAAAAGGATATGTTCTTTGTCCTGAATGAGGGCCATCTAGTTACAAGATACATGTATCTGCAACTAATTAAACTATTGTTGTTGAGTGCCATTGAGGTGATCCTGACTTATACTGACCCTATGTTACAAAGTA